GACCGGTGCCACAGGGCACCTCCTGGACCCGGGGAGGCTGAGTCCTTTCACCGGACACTTGGGCCTGGAGCTCAGCTTCACTCTTGGTCACACCGGGAGGTGGGGAGGTGCAGTTGGGGACAAGGGATGCGTGGGCCGTGGTTCTGGGGCCTCTGCCCGCGGGCTCAGTGCACGCAGCCATGGCCTCTCTGGCACTGCCTGCGGGTGCAGGGGAAGGTTTTGGTGGACAGGTTTTGAGAAGATTCACCGGGTTGCTTATTTTTTTTAAACTTTTTTTTTCAACAACAGGTGACATACAGCATCATGTTAGTCTCAAGTGCATGAGTGATTAGACGCTTACATGCTTGAGGAAGTGACCCCGTAAGTCCAGTACCCACCTGACACCGCACAGCTGCTACTCACCGTCAGCGGGGCTGAGGCCCCTGGCCGCAGAGATCGTGGGGAGCGTGGGGCTGCTGTGCATGGCGCGGAGGTAATGCTCCATGTGAGGGCTCACGTACGGGTGGGGGGCGTTGAAGGGGGACTCCCCGGGGCCGGCGGGGTGGGGGGAAAGCCGGATCAATGAGATGTCGGAGATGACAGGGCTGCCACTCAGGGCAGGAGGCCTGCAGAGAGAAAGAGGAGCTGTCTAAGGAGCCGTGGCCTGCTGGGAGGACTGCAGGGAGCCCCGCACGCAGCGGGACCCAGGGGCCACCTGCACTTGTCATCTGGTATCCAGCATCGCTGTCACCCTTCGAGAGTCCGAACTCTCACCCAGCCCGTGCGTGCTGGGCAGCACCTGCATGCTGGCGAGGCTGCCCCCCCCCCCACCCCGTGTGGGGGTGGAACTCTGCACACACGGCTGGGTGTGCTGGGCCACAGGCTCAGCAGGCCGCACACCTGTGCAGGTCGCCCTTGCTCCCAGTGGGCTCCGGGCTGCATACACAGCGGTAACAGATCAATCTTTGTTGAATGAATGACCGTGTGCATGCTGCCAATGTGTGGGAAACAGAACATGGAGATACTAATGCTGGAGGAGATGCAAAGCGTTCGTATTCCTAAGAGGAATGAGAAAAGGAGGAATCGGAGATGCTCCAAAGGAGAAGCTCGCCTCAGGTGGGCAGTCCCTGGTGTGAAGTGCTCAGCCGGGATCCGCTGTGAAGGAAAAGGGCGAGATCCAAGAAGAGCTTTGAAATGGAGCTGTAGTTAAGTTTGGAATATCATTCCAGCTTCCCTTAGACCAGTGGTTCTCAACCTTCCTAATGCTGCGACCCTTTAATACAGTCCCTCATGTTGTGGTGACCCCCAACCATAAAATTATTTTTGTTGCAACTTCATAACTGCAATTTTGCTACTGTTATGAATCATAATGTAAATATCTGATATGCAGGATGTATTTTCATTGTTACAAATTGAACATAATTAAAGCATAGTGATTAATCACAAAAACAATATGTAATTATATATGTGTTTTCCAATGGTATTAGGTGACCCCTGTGAAAGGGTCCTTCGATCCCCAAAGGGTCGCGACCCACAGGTTGAGAACCGCTGCCTTAGATGAATTCCTTTCAACTCTACGAAGCTTCCCTTCTCAGATGTCCTGTCGACTGTGGCCTGCCTTGGTTCCTCTGGTCCTGGCTGGCATGGCCACCACCCATTTCTATGTTCCCCTGGTTGGCCCTCGAGGAGGTGCCAGCTCTGCTCAACGTGAGGATGGGACTTTGCACAAGACCTGCTCGCCAGGGCCTGTAGGCAGCTGTCAGCGTGTGAGCTGCGGGGGCGTTGAGCAGTCACCTCCTCCCAACACACCCATTAAAGAAAACACACCAAGTCACTTGGGAATGAAATTCACCAAAATTCAGTTTTCAAATGTTTTCAGAAAATAGGGTCTCTCTATGACTTGGCAGAGTGCAAAGAAAAGAATGTGCTAGAATCACACAAACCTGGATTGGAATCTCAGCCTTTAACAGCTCAAACTGAGCAATTACTTTAACTTCCCCAAGCCTCAGTTTCCTCATCTGTAAAATGGGGATAAAACAGTATCTATTTCATAGGGTGGCCAGGAGGATGAAAGTCCCCAACATGGTGACGTCGGCCTGGAGGCCAGGAGCCCAAGTCCAGGTGCCGCAGCGCCCCCCCCGCCCCCCCGCTCCGAGGCTGTAGGGCAGAATCGCCCCTGGCTGCTCCAGCTTCTGGCTTCCTTGGCCTGTGCAACATCCCTCCCCTCTCTGTGTCTTCTCACCTGTGTGTCTTGTAAGGACACCTGTCTTTGGATTTAGGCCTGAGTGGACCAGCCCGGATGATCTCATCTCAAAATTTCCGAGGGAACTACATCCACAGAGGGCCTCTCCCGAGCCAGGCCTGCTCTCGGGTTCAGGATGAGACCTGGCCTTTCCCCTGGGGGCACCACACAGCCGGCGACACCATATGTGAACATCAGGGCCTGCACCGTCATGCTCCAGCCGCCTGGCACGGGCCACCAGGAGAGGCGGGTCACCGCCTGCTGTCCACGAGGGGAGGCAGGCGCAGCACGCACCCCCTCCAGACACCTCAGCTCGGTCAAGGCCAGCCGGGACCACGCTGAGCACAGAGCTGGGTTCTGACCCCGAGCAGCAGTGTTCAGGGCTCGTGGCTGCAACCCTTTTCCTGGTGCTGTTTCTCTT